AACTAAAAACCCAATCCATTTTGAAAATTCAACCTCTCAGCTTATGTACATCGGGCATGATATGCTCTTGTAGTTCTGTCATCTGTGCACCTGTCATTTTAAGAGCCATTTCCAGGTGTTCTAAGGCTTTTTCGGCAGCCTAAACTTATTTTTAAAGCTATTTGTACTATTTATACTGTTTCGCGCTAAATATTCAACATAATTGTCAATTTTTTGATTAGTTCGACAGTATTCAACGATAAAATATGTTTTGTCTCTTACTTGCAATTGCTTTTCCGCTCCAATCCTCGCCATCACCTGTTCACGTAGTTCGGATTCAGTGAGTTCTTTTTGCTCGCTTACTTCCTGTATTGTTTGCTTATAGAAGGAAATGTAAGAGGTGAAGTAAAAAGAATGTCAAACCTTCAAATTCATTAAAAGCTCTTTAGTTTGAGTAGTGTAATACTGCCGTTCTTTCTCGAGATCGTGGGTTTTGTTTTCGTTCATTCGAAGGCTGAAGGAATACAATTAGAGGATAATTGCTCCTAAAAATGTGAAACAAAATGGTTTTAAGAAAGAAGTATTGTTATAAGAAGATATATTACAGAAGTTTTGTAGAATCCTTTTTGACACCTCAGTCAAGTAAGAAAAGGCCTTAATACATCTCATGGGCTTGGGTACACTTTAATTTTATGTTTGATTTTTTGAGGTAAAGTAATCTAAATTTTCAAGTAATTGCATCAATCAACCAATAATTGATACTCACAGTGTTTCAATCTTCTCCTTCTCTACCATGATACAATTCGTTTTCGTTTCAATTTCTGTCAGCCGATTCTTCAACTGACAAGTGGTTGTCGAGAGATTCTGGTTCTCCAGCATAAATTGCTCTCGTTCTCGGAGAATACTGTGCAACTGCTCCTCAATCTTCTCCTTTTCAATGTTCAGGGACTAAATGAAACAGTTTATGCAATTAAGAGTGAAGAAAAATTAGCGTACCTCCATATTTGATTGCAAATGTTCTGTTTTCGAATTTAAAGAGATCTTCTCCTGTTCCAATGTCATTTTAGTTTCATTGGTTACTTTCAGTTCACTAAATATAATCTTTTAAAAGCACA